AGAGAGAGAGAGAGAGAGAGAGAGAGAGAGAGAGAGAGAGAGAGAGAGAGAGAGAGAGAGAGAGAGAGAGCTCTGAGGTTTATTGATCAACGACTTCTTCATTTCTAATCAACATTTCTCCCTCGGGCCGAGCTGCACACAGACAGATCTACAGATACGACAGAGGAGATCTATGAACACAGATCTATGCAGAAAACAGGAGAAGAAGAAGAAGAAGAAGAAGAAGAAGAAGAAGAAGAAGAAGAAGAGCGCAGGAGGAGAAGTTAAAAAAAAAACACTGTTATTGGTATCTGATCGATTTTAAAAGATATTATCTTCAGTAAAGATCGACCAATAATCAAAGATAATATCGGCCGATATTTTTTCCATCTTTTTTTCGATAAAATAAGTTCATTTTAAAACGCGCTCGTTCGGCTCTTACACAGCCGCCTCTACTATTGGCTGTGTAACAATGTCCCGCCTACAGTCCCCACTGATTGGCTACACAGACAGCCAATCAATACACAGTGAGAAAGAGGAGTGTGAATCTTATTATACAACAGTTTAAAGATTTTAAAAGTGAGCAAAACTAAGAAACAGAGTTCTGTGAGTTCACTCTGATCCCAGCTGTGTTATCAAAAATTCTGACACCAAAATACATTTTTACTATGAATGAAGATTGGTTATCAATATTGATGATTGGTTTCCTTGATTACTAATAATTGGTATTAAAAAACCATATGAGTACTGTACTGTACTGGTCTGTCCTTGTGCAATAGTGAGAAACCTGTAATACTGGACACTTGAAAGAGTCCTGAGCAGAGCGCCGCTTCACCTCAGAGGTCGAATCATGGACAAAGGTCAGAGTCCTCAAAGTTCAAATCCACTCTGTGTCTCATCCACACTCTCTGTCCGATCCTCCAAAGTCAAAAACTCCTCTCTGAAATCTAAGAAAGTGTAGTTTAACATCATAAATCCTCAAACTAACACCTGGTTATGATCAGAGTTCAGACTCGGACTCTGCTGCAGACAGCAGAGCGGCGGTATGTCAGCGTGGTATTTACGCCGCTCAGGCCGAGGGTCTCCTTCTGCATGAGTTGCTGTCGGAGAACATGAGTGACCCTGCAGGGTTCAGGGTTCAGGTCCCCGCGGAGCCCCCGACACAGAAACACACTCAGAGAGGCACTTCAGAGCCGGCAACAAGCTTCTGCTGCGTCTGAGCTGACCTTTAAACCGCACGGATCCTCCCGGCCCGACCACGCCGATATTTGTGGGGAAATAAAGTATCATGTTGTTCAGAGTTCATGGGATGAAGCTGAAATGTCAAATATTTAAGGATAGAGAGCTTCAAGGTCAAAGAGAAGCTTCTGACCGGATTATTTAAAGCTTTAAAAACTGTTAAAATAATCCGGAGCATGTGTGTGAAATTAGAAGAGTCTGTCTTCTTCTGTGTTCGGACGTCAAATCAAAGATCTAATCAGAGGAAATATGAGGAGCAGCTGATCTGGTCTGTTCACTGCAGCCGATAACGTCAGGAACGCTCCTCTCAAATACACTCAGAGCTCCTAATTCTTGGTTTTTATAAGATCTGCTGTCATCATCCTCTTCAAACACACAAACACAGTCAGTGCTGCTGTGTACGGAGTAAACCCCGCCTCCTCCTCCTCCTCCTCCTCCTCCTCCTCCACCTCCTCCTCCTGATGGATGTGTCTGTTGTAGCTGCAGGGATGTGACGGTTCGTCTGTCGGCCTGCGTGGCACTGACTGGTACTGAGGATTACTCAGCCCCCCCGCTGCCTGACGTCACACAAACAAACAAATATTAAAAAAAAAAAAAAACGGCGTTTCCGATGTTTCATCAGCGTTTCCTCAGCTTCGCCTCATTTATTCTACGTTTCATGCTTCCTGCTGCGAGGGAAATGATCCTTTTCCTCCTGTTTCCTCACAAAATCAGACACAATTGATTCTTCTGTGTTTTTAAACTCCCTCTGGACGCCCAGATTATTTTCCCAAACTCAAATAAAAGCCTGAAAATAAGTCAAAAGCTCCATATCTTCAAACTTTTTCACTCTGACGCAAATGCAAATGAAGACGCCGTGATTACCGCTGGTTCTGCGTTTAACTCCACCTCAGTTTAATGAACTTCAGCAGATTTCACTCTGAAGTTTAAACTTTATTCTCTCTGTGATATTTTGAATGATTGGCTGCAGAGAAACATCAGAAGTGGGACAAGACCTGATGTTTGGCGCTGATGACGAGAATTTTCTAGAAGTGGGTGAAATTCATCGATGTGTCGATTCATCGTGATGCTTTACGTGATGATTCGGCATCGGTTAATTAACGCTGATGCTTAAAATAAATACATAAATATTAAAGTTGATGTTTTGCTGCAAGGTCGCAACAAAAAAAACAAGTAACCGGAACCTTAATGCGCATACCGCTCAGACTGTTTAGTGAGCGAGACCACGACAAACAGAACGCGTTAGTTTCTCAGCAAAATGGCAGCTTCAGCGGCCTCCAAAGAGCGGCCGATTCTCTCGCCACCGGGGCTGACCCCAACCGTGTGAAAGTAAGAGCAAACAAGACGACTGACAAGACTGACACGAACTGCAAAAATAAAGAACCTCAGCACTAACGCCACAAACGTGAGGCAGCACCTCGTACGCTTTAACCCTGAAACAGAGAAGGTCGTCCCGCCACCTAGAGGACCGTCCTGGAGACTGACTCCAAACCTCCCAGTTTAAGAGAAGTAGGTTAACGTGCAAATCAACTCAAATGTTCAGAAAACCTTATTTATTTATTGAGTGTAGTTTTAGAGGAACTGAGTTAATTGATCGGATATTTATTTACATATGTAGCCACAGATGAAGACAAAATCAGTCTCGTTTGGAAAACAGCATAAAAATGTCAAAAATCGAAGAACTGTGGCACCAAAAATCTAATCGACAATCATAATAATCGAAGAATCAAAGTTCCTATAATCTAATCTAATCTTGAGGTTCCCTTGTTGGAACATCCCTGACATTTTCTAATATATGTTCTAATATAACAAACTCCCACTGATGACGGATCAGCTGTTCGCCTCACACTCACACACACTTTCACCGCCGTCGACTCGCCGCGATAATTCAAACGAACAGAGGAATCTAATTTAGAGGAAATCATCGGGTTCAAACTGATAAACTGACGACGTTTACTCTGAATCTGACGCTCGTTAGAGCGAGGGGAGATCGCTGACAAACAGGAAATTCATTAACTGTCATATATGCGTGTGTGTGAGAGTGTGTGTGTGTGTGTGTGAGAGTGCGTGTGAGAGTGACTTGTAATGTTGCAGTTTTTCCATCGCTCAGTCTGAGAGCTTAGAGCTGCGTAAGAGGCTTAGAGCTCAAATCAGCATGTTGATCAAGTGAGGGCAGAGTGTGTGTGTGTGTGTGTGTGTGTGTGTGTGTGTGTGTGTGTGTGTGAGAGAGAGAGAGAGAGAGAGAGAGAGAGAGAGAGAGAGAGAGAGAGAGAGAGAGAGAGAGAGAGAGAGAGAGAGAGAGAGAGAGAGAGAGTCAGGTGTGTGTTGGTATGTTAGTGGAGGCCTTTTGCGACAGATGTGTGCTGGTGTATCGTGTGTGTGTGTGTGTGTGTGTGTGTGTGTGTGTGTGTGTGTGTGTGTGTGTGTGTGTGTCGGGGGTATTAAATACTGAAAAACTGCAATCATGGCGTGGGATTAAAGATTTAAAATGGCGGCACGCTGGACAGAGGGCGAGGAGAGGAGACAGAGAGCGAGGGATGTGGACAGAAGAGAAAGAACAGGAGGAATCGACATGTCCAAAAGTATTTGGACAATCTTAATGTAAAAGTTCTATAAAGCCGTCCACATACTTTTGTCCGTGTGGTTTACTTCTCCACGGTGTGACATCCAAACAAACACGAGTGTCAACGTCTGCTATGCTAACATGTGACTCAGCCGCTAATGAGAAGCTAATGGCCTCGGCGTCCGCGTGAACGTGAGCCGAACTGAGCATGTGTGCCTGTCCTTCAGGCGCCTCATTAACATGGAGTCAGACCGCGTTCACATCGAAGAGGGTTAAATGTGGCGCTGAAGTCAGAGCTGCAGGAACGCGTCTCGCTCTGATGGAGCACAAACAGCTTCTGATATTGTCATCGGCACACAGACAACAGACGCGGGGGGAAACATTTCTCTTCTAATGATGACATCTCGGCGAGCTGCAGCGGCGTAACCTCCGTCTGATGGTTGCGTTTCTGTTTCTGGTTTATAATTAGGGTTCGTGTTGTAAAGCTGCCGCCCGGTTTCACACCCGCCCCGTTTTTTCTGGAACTTTAGTGACTTCATGGAGGTCAGAAAGTCACGAAACAAGTTTAACATGAATGTAGAATATCTAAACTAAATCCTGAGGATGTGACTCGGCGATCCTGAAGACGGAGTTCAGCACAGGCTGATGGAGAGGTCGTTAGTGTAATTATCGACAAGGCGCTGATGAAGGTCAGGTGACCGCGGCCGGGAATCGAACCATCAACCCTCTACTATCAGTCACGCCTTCCTCCTTCTGTCTAAGCCCCAATTTTCACCGTATCCAAAACGTCTACGAGAAGGTCGTTTCGTCGATCGTAACCGTTCAATTTAACGTGTCAATTTCCACCGACTTCTTTCCGTTCCTCTGCCGATCAAAATCAAAATCGAACTCTCTTTTGGAAAGGACAACTGGACTTACTTTCAACGAAGAACTGTAAATCATAGATGCTGCTTCATGTTTTAAACAACATCTCAAGGTTTACCCCCGATCTCCACCTCATCCTGTAATCCTTACTGCGATTACCGCTGTCCGTAATCCACCACGAAAGGATTCGGTAGGAATCGACGTTCTGCGAAAATCGCTGCCGTTCCGGTTGCGGTGGAAATGCGGGGTAACTTGTAACAACGATGAGACCCTCCTCTTTCTCCTCTTCCTCCACAGATTGAACGGAGGCCGTAAAGGCGACACAGGACGGGACGGGACACGAAACCTTGTCAGCGTCGATACTGATTCATTTCCCGCTCTTAGTCCGTCTTCACCGCTCTGCCTGAGGTCAATATCTGAGAGGAGAGGAGGGCGGCGGGTCGATTCCAATTATAAAACAGGTGTCAAGGATGAATATTTTATGTGGGTCGGCGGCGGCGGTTTTGTTTATCCTCCTCACAAACTGATGAACCAACAGATGCAGCGAACACACGGGTTTGATCGTCGCTGCTGCTCGCCGAACAAACAAACAAACACACCTCTGAACCTGAACCTCCCTCTGCTGCTGCTGCTGCAGCGGCGGCGACAGTTTTAGGTTCGCTTCTGCAGTTCGTTTGTTTCCTGTTAAAGTTGAAATAGAAATGAAGAAGAAAATGGAGATGGAGTCTTTGCAGCCTGTGGGGAAACTTAAAGTCAACACTGTGAAAGGTGTTGGTTTGGAGAGAGGAGTAAAGGCTGGAGGGAGAGAGAGAGAGAGAGATTCATGTCTCTGAAAACACCTGCAGACGCCCTGAACAAACAAAACACTCAGGAGCTCCAATATCAGTGAAAGAACGTCAGCTCGTCTGTTTACAGATAATTAACGAGGTTCTGGTTCATCAGCTGGTGACTCAGAGTTTCCTGAACTGAGAGGAAACAGAGAGAGGAATTAGGCGACACTTTTTACAAAAGGTCGACCCTCAGAGACGAGAATCCGGCGAACTGTCAGAGCTTTTCCTTTTCTAAACCTCTTCCTAAATGTTTGTTAACGTGTTTTTTTCTCCCCCCCGTCGGTGTCGGTGTTCGTGTCACATCATCGCTCCGCAGAGCCGCTCTGAAGTACGACTCCGTCCTTTTCTACGCAGTCGGCCGCACAGAGACGGAGAGGAGCTATATTTGGAAGCGGCTCTGCCTCCTACTGTAAGGGTATGTCATAAATCTGTTGTGCCATAATAGTGAATGTGTGTGTGTGTGTGTTTCCGAGGATGAATGGTGGCCTGTCTCGTACCCCTGCGCTGCTGCTCCTCACTAATTGGTCGTGGACTTAAGTGCTGTTTCTGCACTATTCTCCAGATAGATGGAGGGAGGAGAGAGGGAGGGAGGAGGGGAGGATGGAGGTGAGGGAATAATGCAACAGAGAGGGGGGGGCGGGGGGGTGATGGATGTCAAGATGTAGCGAGATCGAAGGATGCATGAATAAAAGAGGAGAGAGGAGAGGAGAGGAGAGGAGAGAGAGGAAAGAGAGGAGAGGAGAGGAGGAGAGGAGAGGAAGGGTTGGTGGTAGAAGAGGAGATGTGGAAGAGAAAAGAGAAAGATCGATGAAGAAGGAACTGAAAGAAACTGAAGAAGAGTAAGGAAAGAGTTTAAGGAAAGGAAGTGGAGGGACAGAAGAAAAGAAGGAGAGGAGATGAGAGTAGGAAAGGAAAGAAGGGAGCAGAGGAGAGGAGATAGGAAAGAAGGAAAAAAGGGTGAAGAGACAGTAGGAGAAAAGGGGATTGATGAAGGATAAGAAAAGTAAAGAAAAGAAAAAGGTAGAGGCGAGAAGGAGAAGAAGGGAGGAAGGAAACGATGAGAAGAGGGAAGTAACTAGAGGAGAAAATAAGAGGTAAGAAGGAAAGGAGACGAGAAGGAGAAGGAAGAAGGAAGGACAGAGGAGAAAAGATGAGGAAAAAGAGAAGGAAAAATGGGGAAAGAAAAAAGGGAAGGGCAGAGAGGAGAAAAGGAAAGGGGAGAAGGAAGGAAAAGAGGAGATAGAAGGGAGGAGAAGAGGAAGGGATTAGAGGACAGAAGGAAAGGAAAGGAGGATAAAAAGAGGAGAGGAGAATAAAGAGCAGCATAAAGTGGAAATGGAGAGAATGAAGGGAGAGGAGAGGAGAGCGATAGAGGACAGGAGGTAGAGAGAAGAGTGATGGATGAGCGGAGGAAAGAGGAGGAAGGAGAGGAGGAAGGAGGAGGAAGGACGAGGAAGGACGAGGAAGGAGGAGGTCATCGGTTTATTTTATTTTCAGAGAAACTTTGTCAAAGATCATAAAAACTAAATTTCAGACTTTTTTCTTCTTCTGTTTAAACGTTTTTCTCTTTTTTCACAGACTCAGAATTTTCTGATTTAATCCTCATGTTGTTGTTCTCTCCTTCCTCCACACTCGTCCTCTCCTGTCACGTTAACTTCACCTCCTCCAGGCGACAAACTCAACAACAAACTTCAATTACATTTCAAATTTTATCTCCACACAGTTTCACGTTTTCAGTTTGAGGATTTTAAAAGACGCCAAAAAACTTAATAATGAAGAAAATTTTGTTTTATTTGGATGTTTCTAAAATGTTTTTGTGTTTTTAATATTTATTTGTAAATCTAATATATTTCTGTTTGAAGATTTTCTCTAAAATTATGAAGTTTTGAACTTTTATCAGATTTTTGTTGAGAAATTTATTTTCATTTTGAAAATATTTCTGTGATCTTGAAACTTTTTTGTTTTCAGAATAATTTTGTGTTTACAAAAGTGAAACGGAAACATCTGGAGAACATCTGCTCTTGG